AAAGAGGCAACGGAAGCATGAAACATGTAGATGTTGATGAATTGTATTCATCGTTATGGAGATTATTGATAAGCATTCCAGCAATCCAAAATAATAAGAAGAATTTTAAAACAAGACAATTTATAAACCTTGTTTCTGGACGTTGTGTGTACATTTCTGAATGGCTTCACCCTTGACACGCTCTTAAATTTATCGTGTATACTAAAAGTTATTTCAAGTTATAAGAAAAGTAATTAAATGACATACAACAAATGCAGGATTGTCTTGAACACTTCTTTTAGATTGACACTCAAATCTTATTAATCTGGAGTCTTGTGTTCCGGGGAAAATTGTCTTGAATGAAGGGTTCGGATTACTGAAACATATTTGGCCCTACAAATAAAGTCTGGAAGGCCAAGCATCCGAATTATTGACGTCATGAGCAATTAGACACTACTGTATATGTATTTCACAGGTAATTGGAAACCATACAGATTTCGGAAATTTGTGTTATCTGTTACTAGAAGAGGGAATCCATCACAGTGGATCACGTGCCATAGAGATACCACTGACCGCCCTGCTCTACCTTTAAGTATACAAAATATAACATGTAAAGAATCCGCCAGATACGTCAGAGTTGCAACAACGTATGACGCCCCTGAAGATGGTATTTTTGGAGCTATACTAGAAGTGTGTGAAATAAAAGTTTACGGTAGGAATTGCATATCACCAACAGTGAAAGAAATGTTCTAATATATGTCTTACTAATTATCAATCAAACTATTATATTAGAGGAAGGTTTGCCGATAATTGCAATAATAACACTTCTTCTGAAGTGTGTGAAATAATAGTTAATGGTAAGATATGATAATTAATAGTTTACCTCCATTATTTAAAAATTCAGTATGATATGAAAATAACAATAAAATTATTCTTCAATTCGTTTCATTTTAATAGGTTGTAATGTTGGTTTTTATGGACCATCTTGTTCATCCTGTGGAGGATGTCATAATTGTGACATTGAAACTGGTTGTCGTAAGTTAATGTTAAGTGTTCATTCAAAAATCGGGATATTCTTTTCGCATTTGTTCACTACATTTGAAATCAAATGGTTGCAAAACTTTACAATCATTACATAATAATGTCAAATTCAACCCTGAACTTGGAAAAGGTTATCCGAAAATTAGAGGTCTTCCTTAATCCAATAACTTCTGTACAATATACATTAAGTATCTTTAGATAGGAAAATTTCAAAACATGACCATATCATTAATACATGTACCTATATTTTGCATTGACTTTCGCAAAAGTTCCTCATAGGTTATAAGATTTGATCCATCAATTCCCAATTTCACTATATTATTTAGTCAGAACATAACCTTTTTGTAGTCTTTGCATCTACATGTAATTGGTCTTATGAGAAATCTTGATCTTAGCTCTTAAAGTGACACAGAACCATTATTCTCCTTATAAGTCAATATGATTGTCTGCATTTAAAAGTACTTGTTTTTGCATTTTGATTTGTGTACTAATTGTGGTTAACGTATTCATATTAACTTTTTCATTTGACCTAACATTACGACTAAAAACTATAGATGTTGAACATAAATCAAATTCAAACTTTGTTGAAAATATGGGACCTTGTTCTCAAAGCTCGTAAACGCGTCAAATTAATCGAGTTTTTTACGGAAAAAAATAAGTAAAATTATAAATAATCAAACCTGAGATTTCCCTGAAGATTAAAGGTCTATTAATTTTTTTTTTAATGTTCAGTAGCGTGCAGCCCTAATTGTGTAGACAGTGCTTGTGACATGTACGGAAACTGCATCGGAGCATGTTCTTTGGGATTCTGGGGAAGAAAATGTACGAGTCCCTGTCAACATTCAAAATGTCTGAATAACGCTTGTAATAAAGGAGATGGAAACTGCCTTTCTTGCACACAGGGATACTATGGAGATACATGTAGCATACATTGTTCTACATGCTCTGGACAAACGTGTTATAAGACAGGCTTCTGTACAAACGGATGTATTGTGGGGTATTACGGTAACAACTGTGAAAGACGGTGTGGTAATTGCAACCCTGATACATGTGACAGAAACAATGGGTTTTGTAATGTATGTGAAGTAGGATATTTTGGAGACAAATGTGAAAGAGCATGTAGCACGAACTGCTTTAATTATATATGCAGAAAAAGCGATGGGTATTGTTTGGGATGCAGTAAAGGAAGTTATGGATCTCAATGTAAGAAAATTTGTAATGACCACTGTGTTTCAAGAAGTTGTGACCAGAACACCGGCCAGTGTAATAAAGGTTGCGAGATCGGATATTATGGTTCCTTCTGCAACTTGTCATGTAGTCCCAATTGTGCTCAAGCTGGGTGTTATAACAATGAGGGAACTTGTATTGGAGGATGTAAAACAAACTGGGCAGGAATTACTTGTGATGGTAGGAACTTATTTCTTCAAACAAGCTTTCAGGACTATTTTTCTTTAGGACAGATAATATAAACAAAAAAGAGGATGTCTGGATTGGTATACATTTTTGGACTTTCTTCGATTGTAAATGATACATTCAATAAAATTTTAAAATATAAAGAAATTGAAAACTTTTTATGATGTCCAATATTCCACCTTTCTGCGATCATCCTCGGAAGTCGTAGGAAGTTTTGTCACATTAAATCTAATTACTGTGAAATTTTGAATGAAAAATGAAAATTTAATATATGCTGCTAAATTTATTTATTCAACATATATAAGCATTACTAAAGTTGTTATTTTCAAGATTTCTGATAAAAATTCGTTTGTATCATCTGTCCTTAAAGGTGCATAGACACAGGTTTGACGTTTATATATTCTCAAATTTTCTGTTTAATATCACAACTTCTATGTTGCTATAGAATTTCAAACGAAAATAAAATTAAAAGCTTATTTAATCTGGAAATTATTGAAACTATGAATTTCGGGAGGCATTTGATTAACACATCCTTGCACTTCCACAATTTTTAACTTTATCCTTCATACTTAAGAAAAGTAGCAATTTTGTTGTGTATTATTGAATAATATTACATCTATAATCCAGAAAATTCAGAGTAAAAATGTGCAAAAGCAAAACCCACTCACTTAAGTATTGTCAGTCCGTGCTCAGTGTTGTGTAGTTGTGTACAGAGTTTAACAAATTGAATACACCCGTGAAACGTAAACTGTTTTTGTAAAGGAGGCACGAGCTCTGTTGTTGTTAATATTTACGTTTTACCGGGTGTGTTCAATTGTTAAACTCTGCACACACCACTGAGCACAGACTGACAATACTGGTGAGAGGATTTTGCTTTCTACATTTCTACTCGGAAATTTCTGCATTATAGTTTTAATATTTTTTTCATTAATAAACAACAAAATTGCTACTTTTCTAAAGTAATAAGGCTAAAGTTAAAATTTGTGAAAGTGCAAGGATGTGTCTATCAAATGCGTCCAGAAATTCGAAGTTTCAATAACTTCCAGATAAAATAAGATTTTTATCAAATTCTCGTATGAAATGCTATAGCAACATATAAGTCATGAAATTATACAAAAAAATTGAGTAAATATTAACTTCAAATCTGTGTCTAAGCACCTTTAAGTGATAAACTGAATGCCTTAACATAGAACTTCATGAGTAGTTAAAATATGAAAATAAATGAAATGACATGGATCCATTTAACGTTGTAATTTCATCTGATTTGCTGATTCGTAAACCTATGCATTTACCATTTATGTGCTACACAAAAACGTTTGCAATATATGCGAATGTATGCATATACATTTTCAGAAGTGTAAATGTACTTGAATTAAAGTGTATGAATGTTCATATGGCTATGATAGTTTAAAGTTACAAAGAACATACATACAGAACCATGGTATCCTTCTCCTGCTGGCGTATTTTTTTTAATGAGTGAAATCTTTAAATAAGATATCGTCATTGTAGAATGTGATTTAGCGCATTATGGATTTGATTGCTCAGCGGAATGTAGCGCGTCCTGTCAGACAGGATGTGACAGGGATACTGGTAATTGCAAAGGAACCTGTGATGTTGGCAAATATGGGAACTTCTGCAATAACACATGTAACCTTGACTGCAGAAATGGATGCCAAAGAGACAGTGGTAATTGCGAGGATTGTGTTGCTGGACAATTTGGAGCCATATGTCAAAACACTTGCGGAAGAGGGTGCAACAGCAACTGTGCTAAAACTGATGGGAGTTGTACGTGTAAAGTAGGATGGCAAGGGTCCTTTTGTGATGGTAAACCTAATAAAGATGAAACTATTCTTTTTTATTAAAATGATAAATTCAAAGAGTTCTTTTAAATATTCAAAATATGAAATCAATGCTTTTATAAATTGCTTTCAATTTCTTTTAACCATGGATTGTTCGATAGCGTTTCAGGTAGAAATAACATTTGTCCGGTGTCTTAAAATTCTGAAATTTGTAAACTTTTAATAGTTTAATAAATTTATCAAAATAACCTTTTTTCTCATTTGCATGTTTTGATAAAGAATGTAACCCATACTACTACGGTGCTTTATGTGAACACGCATGTAGTTTGAGCTGTCTAAATGGAACGTGTTTTTCAAACAATGGATCATGCATTGGAGGATGCAATGGCGATTATATTGATGAAAAATGTACAGGTATTACAGATATGATAAAAGTGCTAAGATTAACCTATCACATTTGATAGGCTAAGCGCATTTCCATTATCTTGAAATTCTATAGGTTTGAAAAACGTCTTAACTTTCGATTTGATTTATAATTCCAAAAAGGAACGGTAAAAATACATATGCCAATTAGGGTATCATTATTTCATCCATGAATCATCTGAGACATTCTACATTATCTGACACGAACAATTCTTTTAGCTTACTTTTTGAAAAATAAAAAATATATACGTATGATAAACAGTTCACACTCTGCTACGGTGTATATCAAATATTCATTTCATATAACATTGGTATAGATAAAGTGGTGCTGCTTTTCCTTTATAGTTCTCGCTAGAAGTATGCAAACATCATTTCCAACTACACCTGTCGCTGTGGGAGCAGGAGTTGCTCTAATTTTGTTGATCCTAATTATTATCTCTGCAATTTTATTCATAAGGTAAGTCTAACGTTTTAAACTTATATAAATGAATAATGATGTGTTAAAATTGAATGCTTTTATATCAGAACTTCTTCCAATTGTTACTGAAGTATTTCAATATTTTTCCATAGGCTAAGAAGACGAAAGCATTCTGAGTCCCAATTAAGTTCAGTTCTTTTCCACAAGGAATGTGACATTTCTTCTGAAAAATGTAATATCATAATTACAGTTTAAACAAGATTTGTGTTATTTTGTTCAATAAATGGAACCGCAGATTCTCTTCTCAGGAATTAAGTACCTTTTAAACAGCATTTTATATTCTACGTGATTATAAATAATAAGTTACAAATAAGTCGATATATACTGAAACGCAAAAGAAATGCAACAAGCAGTAATCTACATATATTTGAATTCTTTATCCAATGATTTTCAAAAATGAATACAGTAAGGTAAAACAGGATTTAAAAAACATCAGCGATTTGAAAAAATGTTAAATGATTGTCTTTTAACTTTAGAAAGTAACACATGACTGTTAAAACACCCCCATCCCCACCCTGGCCATTCAATTACAGTGTGCAAGACTGCCATGCACAACAATTGCAGCTTGATTTCTACGATACAATAGTTATATCTATCTCGAGATCTGAGCGAAAGAAATAATCTTTGTCATTTTTAAATTAAAATTTCTAAATGCCCGTTTTTCAGATGATTAGGTAATATTTTCTCTAGCCTAGTGCAGTGTAGTAACCCTTGGACTTCCGGTCCATTGACTGTCATTCATGCTAATGATACGCAAGAGCCTCTTGAGGCGTGATGTAGGGCATATTTGCAACTGCAACTCTCCATCGCCTTTATTTTGAGATTTTCCAGCTAGAGCAATGGAAATGCGTACTTACGTCATTTTCAGGAAGCCTTGGCATCGCTTACAGAAAAGAAAGGAGAATTTATTTTTCGGAATATTCCTGCATTACGTATGATGAACAGATACAAACCCTTACAACCCCATATTATCACCAAATGTTTTGTTAAACATGCAATTTTTGATTTCTGTTAAGCGGACTCAAACTTAACTTCCGGTAATGGTATGAAAATCAATTTTCAAAGTTGAAGATGTCCTTTTTTATATGCAAAATTATATCCTTTATGTAATATTTTCCCCTAATATAGGATGTTGCGTTTCTTTTGCGTTTCAGTATATAAATGTATTCCACTATAAAAAAAAAAAATTCAGCAGCTTGCATTTTAGTAAATATCAGAAAATCTTTTTACTTTGTATGATTTTCTTTTTTGATTTAAAAAAAAAAATAAGAATACATTTTTATTCCCATTTTGTTTAGCTGCCGAAAACAAGTTATACACAAACATAGGAAACGTGTCTGTTCCGATTGAGGACCCAGAAGAAGAGCCCCAGAAAGAAAACCCAGAGGATGCTGTATATTATAATGACCTGTCTGTGGCTAAGGATATAGCTCTGTCTGACTTACTGAATGTAATCACACAGAGGGAAGGCAAGGAAAAGGATGGATTTCAAAAGGAATTCAAGGTCAATACGTGTATATTTTAGGTTACAATTAGAATAGTGAATTGCTGATTGTCATGTTCATTTTGTACAATTTCACCTTTTAAGCCCAAAACCTTTGTTTATTTAAATTTAAATTTTCATATTTTTTCCCCTTTTCAAGCTTAAAAAGTAATGTGTACTACATCTTCTATAAAAACAAATGAGCATTCTTAACCACGCAGTACAGTTAAGGTGACAATTGGAAATATCGGCGAATTTTTATATAGAAAATACATTCTTTACAAGGATGGGCGATTCTTTTTAGGACTTTACTATTATCAGACAAATGTAATGTGGTTGAAAACTACATGTTGGGGACGATTAGATTTCTTACCTAGACTTGTGACGTAATGTGGCAGTCACGTGATTTTAGCAAACATACCTGCAGTATTGAGGTCATCTATAAATTCCAATATTGCAAGGGCATAACCACGTTGAAAATCTAAGTTTAATTTATAATTATTTTCAACACTCTTTGTAGTTTGTGAAAAGTGCTGCGAACCTATATAGATTCTACTATATGACTGCTAAAATTACGTTTGTTAGACCGTATGCTGAATATTTTGCTGGTCAAGTACATTAAATATAGATATGATTAATTCATTTGCAAGATTTCATCAGGTTAGCAGCACTTTTCAAATATCTTCATACCTCTTGAGTTTATGTGTAAAAGCTTGTCATAATTCATTGAGGGTATGCCCTTGCAATATATCAATTTATTACGACCCTTCTATTACCCTTCAATGAATCTGCACACAAATATACGGCAGTATCGCTTGTCTATGAAATGTACTGGAAGTATATGATTAAAATCATAAAATATACATCGCATCCAAGTTAATGGCCTCTTATATATCTGCAAATATATTTTATTTACTTACAAAATACATTTTTCATTGTATAAAACATACTGCGTCAAATTTTGAGATATGACGTCACATTGACAAGTGCATTGCGATCAGTGAATTGTTTATATATTGCTCTGTGGGATTAAACCAAAGACAAAAATACATGCAATAGTAAGTATTGATGTAGTTTAAAGCTATCGAACAGTTTAAAATAGCAAATCATTTCATTCCATGGTAATTTGAAGAACATATACATTTGTGTGATGTCATAGTAAGAATTTCCCGTAAAAATTAGGCCCCGCCTCCTTATTGCAGCCTTAACTGTGCTGCGCAGAAATATTTTTTTCCTTTGATCATTTCAATGTATTCCTTTTATCACATTTTCATAACAATGCGTTTTCAAATTCCCGTTTTGCATAATTCCCTTTCATCACCGAGCAGTATCTCTATTTCAGTCTCTTCCTTATGGAGAACGATTTGCCTGTGAAATCGCCAAAACAGCAGAAAACATGCCTAAAAATAGATTTAAAACCACGTTTCCATGTAAAATTATTCTTTCTTGTCATTTTTTTTAATCTTTTCATTTTCAATTAGATCGTATTTATACAATTCCAGATCTATCATAAAATTAAGATGTAGAAGATTCTGAATAATGGTTTTAAAGCCATTGGTTACAATTTGATATTCTTTTAAAATATTTTCAATTTTAATATTCTACAATATTAAACATTTGTTAAATATTCTTTTATAAGTGTTTGTAAAATATGAATTTTGATCACTTATGTTCAATACATTTAATTCTTTGATAAATATTTAAAGTATTTTGATATGTTGCATTACCATAAATGAATTTATTTTAGTTTCTCTAAAATAGTATGTGATTGCAATGTTTTAGACACTAATGATTTAAATTCATGTTTTTGTTTTAGATGATCATTCCCGCGTTATTTTAGAAATGAAGGGTTTTACTTCCGATTACATCAATGCCAACTATATTGAGGTAATAAACACAAATTATTTACTCTAATTAGCATTTCTGTTATAATAGTATTTACTTGACATTATTGTCATTTTGAATGTATCCTAACATTTGATGTTTTAGAATACTGAAGGAAAACGGGAATTCATTGCTTGTCAAGGTAAGAAAATCAAATTTGATTTTCTAATTCCATCTGATAATGATTCTGGAGAATATTTTAAAATAATACTTATAAATGATTATAAAGAATCTTTCACCTTAGAATGTTTCTTTCACTAAATGTTTACTTAAATAACATATTTTAAAGGCCCTCGTGAAAACACATTAGTAGACCATTGGAGAATGATTTGGCAGGAACATGTAGAATACATTGTAATGCTGACCAACCTTATTGAGGGACCAAAGGTTAGATAACACATGGATTTTATGCATTACTTTATATGTTTCAGTACATTAAGTAATTCATTTCAATTACTATGATATTAAGACTGTTGTAAGTCACTTGAGCCACAGGTTCGTGAAAGTTTTTCTGATCAAAGTTTCTCTGTTAATGTTTCCTTTCATCCTATTCTTTTTATCTTGTTGTCAAATCACATTTTTTAGATTTCTTTTCCCCGCTCTCTGTCAAGTCCCCTCAAACTTCGCAGAAACATCCATTACAAGTAATAATTCAAATATGTTGAAAAGAAGGTCCGCGCATTTAATTGCAAAATATTTAAAATAAGTTTATAATTTCATTGTTGTTATTTTTCCTTAAGAACCCCTGAACAATGAAAAACAACTTCCTGACCAAAGCTACAGCGTTGTAAATGTTGATTTTACATTATTTCAATCATTATCGGCGAGTTAGGATGAAAGTATAGTAGAGGATTGATTGAAGTTTAATAAAGGGATGAGGAGAATTATTGCATCCCCTTTTCTTCTGACGAGTACACATGTGAATTAAGGTTAGGTTTAGGCGTTTCTATACAAATGAGCTAATGAAAACGCATAAGAGGTATATTTATTATTCAGAAAAAATGTAGATTCATTTCTTTTATGCATACTTAGTACTCAAGATATGTTATAGCCAGTACACATTATGACGTCATATTATGACGTCACTGATCTTACCTAATGGAGGTAATAAAACACATCAACAAAACAGCTTCGGCGCAAGGGATTATTTTATTTATTTTTACATAAAAATTATTTAATGCTAAGATTGATTAATTGATTGATTGTATGTTGTTTTACGTCCCATTCGAGAATTTTTCACTCATATAGAGACGTCACCATATACCGGTGAAGGGTTTCAAATTTTGACCTTTATTTGGCACTCAGGGCCATTGAGCAGTGAGGGATCTTTATCGTGCCAACGCCTGCCGTGACACGGGGCCTCGGTATTTAAGGTCTCAACCGAAGGACCCGCAACTTTCACTTCAAATTGCCGAGCGCATGGCGAAGGAACAGTTGCTACCTATTTTTTATCGACTTAGGTCTGTCGCGGCCGAGATTCGAACTCACGACCTCCCGATCACGGAGCGAGCGCTCTACCGACTGAGCTACCGTGAACGGTATTTTAATGCTAAGAATAATATTCAATAGATTAATAAAACTGCTGCACAAATCCTAGGCATATTCTCATTTG